GAGTCAGAAAGATCGAGACAGAGAAGCGAAGTAACCAAAGAACACTTGGAAGGACTACCTTTGTGACCTGTGATCAGATCCAGTTTGAGTGGCACAGACAATGCCACTGTCAAGACAGATGACATTGCTGAAACCAGAAAGTGTTGCTTATGTAGCCTTCAGAGTCTGATGAAGTGAACCCATCACAATGTTCTGAGGTAGGTGGAGGTATGTTTGCTGAGATTAGTCAAAATAGTCTCTCAAAAGCTCTTAAGAAAGTAAAATTCTTGACATACTTTGATCCTAAAAACCAGGCAACCCATGTCCATGGGTAGGTAAGCATCAGTTATTTTTCTAATCACTCAAAAAAAAAAAATCACTAAGCCCAAAGTGTCTTTGCATCTTGTTCTGGAAGCCTACTTCAGGAGGAACTGTCTCAAGATAGCACCTGGGGACTCAAAGGAGGAGCTTAGGCAATGTTCTACTGTTGAACTCAATATCAACTGTGCAGAATCTGAGTCCCAGGATCACCCAGTGAGCATGAAGAGATTAGGAGAAAATAACCCAGAGATCAGGACCCCCACTCAGGACAGTTATTAAGATACTTGGGAAAATAGGCACTTTATCTGTCTGTGGGAGAGGTGGTACTGGCATTCTGTCATCCATGCCTTCTCTCCCACTTTCACTAACCAGTGCATCTCCTTGTGGGTCCATGTTAATGAGTCCAGTTTAAGTCCTCAGATGTTGAGGAGCAGCAGTCTAATGACAGAAGTCACAAGCTGACCCCAGGGAGAATAACATTCCTAGTCACAAGGAAGCCAGCAATGCAGCCTGAACCCATCATGAACTTGGTCATGATGGCGGGGTGGGCAGTGGCTTAGACACACTTGCTCATGATGGTGGGGTGGGCAGTGGCTTAGACACACTTGGTCATGATGGCAGGGTGGGCAGTGGCTTAGACACACTCATGATGGCAGGTGGGCAGTGGCTTAGACACACTTGGTCATGATGGCGGGGTGGGCAGTGGCTTAGACTCCTTTCTCGGTAGTGCTTATGATGTGCTTCTGGCTCAAGCAAGGCCTGTCAGAGAACCTGATGGAAATAACTGGACCACAGGGAAACTTAATAGTTCTACGTGGAAGCAGGGTGCATATAATGAGAAAAAGGGGTTAGTTAACTAACAGGTTAGCCACCCTTGTGCTGAAGTCTTATGTGGGGTACAGTAGAGCAGTAGAATACACCACTTCAATTCTTCTAGAGGGGCACTGATCCTCTCCTGGGGCTCCACCCTTAGAATCTCATCTAAGTCTGGTTTCCTCCCAGTGGCCTTGACTCCTAGCACCGTCACATGCAGTGTGGGTTTCACTGGAGGTGTCATGGGAACTCCAACATCCAGGCTGTAGGACTCAGCCCTGTAACAGTGGTCTCCTCCACTCACGGCCGCTGTGCTGCCCATCCCGGACCTGTTCTTCCCAAGAGTGCTTCCGTGGTTCTCCTCAGTCTTTACCCTGCTTCGGCCAAACCGCACGGCAAACCTGGCCCTGAGGAGACTGGAAAGCTGTCTTATTAGGGTTTTTTGGCAGCTGTGACCTAACAGTGTATCTGAAGAAGACATAGCTTTGGGCTGGAGATGACCTTCAGTGTTCGTATCAGGATGTAACTAGTGAGTGTTGACTTGGGGGTAACTGCCAGGGAGATGCTGGAGGGGAGATGTGGGTGGAAGATGGAGGTAAATATATTAGAGGATTTGCCTCAGTCCCCATGATTATATCATCGCATGACATGACATACCATCCTGGCCTATCCAGGGGCACCCTGTAATTCCTTCAATGGGAATGAAAATGTCAGAGCAGGAAAAAGAACTGAGTCCCCTCCTGAGATTAATTCAAGGGCCTCTCCTTACCCACTGAGCTACCCTCCCATGAATGAAGGAGCCTGAGTTTCGGGACTTGATCCATCTTCTGGGAATTCATTTATGAAGCTCCACAGTTAGAAGACTAGATACCGTGATGTTGTGAGGGATTTCTCAATGAAATGTTCCAACTGACATCTCCGTGTCCCCAGTGCCAGAATGAGGTCATCTCTGAGAGAAAATGCCACTGCCCGGCCAGGCTCTGTGATGGCCAATCTCATCTGCAAGGCTGCGTACAGAATCCGTAAGGCCAGAGAGCATGCTGTCTCCTCGAATGGAGTGTCTGGTAGGAGTCTGAGCAAAAACGCAATCTGGAAAGGTTTCTGGGCATCTGGGAACCTGGCCAGGAGACCTTTTATCTGAGCCCATTTTTGTGAACCTTTTACAATATTACTTAAATTTAATTTTAGAAGAGAGCTACTCAATTTCAATGACACAAATGGACATTATGCCATTAACAAACAAAATAAAATATGTTCCAGATGATTAGCTTCTACTTCCCAACCCAAGCTGTTATTTTCCACTAGAATTTTAATATAAAAAATTTCAGACATGAGGAAAATAACTTTTTGTGAATGCCAGTATCCTACCTCTTAAATTCTACAATTAAAATTTTCTAAACTTACTTCATTAAATATATCCCCCCCAAATACTTCAGTTTTATGTCACTGTTCAGTATTCTTATAGTTTTTTTCTATTATAAAATTTATAGGCCATGTAACATAAAATATGAATAATTTGCACAAGTCAGTGACTAGTGTAGACACCTACAGTCCATTGTCTGCTCAGGATACAGTGACCAGTGTAGACACCTACAGTCCATTGTCTGCTCAGGATGCAGTGAGCAGTGCAGACCCCTGCAGTCCATTGTCTGCTCAGGATGCAGTGAGCAGTGCAGACCCCTGCAGTCCATTGTCTGCTCAGGATACAGTGACTAGTGCAGACATCTGCAGTCCATTGTCTGCTCAGGATACAGTGACCAGTGCAGACCCCTGCAGTCCATTGTCTGCTCAGGATGCAGTGACTAGTGCAGACCCCTGCAGTCCATTGTCTGATTAGGATACAGTGATATATTTTCTCCTAGTCCTAACTATAGTGGTTTGAATGAGAATGTCTCCCAGAGGCTCAGGTATTTAAACACTTGATCCCTGGTTTGTGGTGCTATCTGGGGAGGGTTAGGAAATGTGGCCTTCTTGGAGGAAGTATAACACTGTGATAGACGCTACAAGCTTACAGTCTCTTCCTACTTCCTTTTTGCTCTCTCTGTTTTGTGTGTGTGGTTCAAGATATGAGCTATCAGCTTCCTGTTCCTGCCGCATGCCTGTCACATGCTGCCATGCTTACGGACCACGATGGACTCTAATCCCTTTGGAACCATAGCCCAAATCAACTCTTTCTTCCATAAGTTGTCTTGGTCAGTGTGTTGTATCATAGAAACATAAAAGTAACTAATACACTAACCCTTAAGATACACACACACACACACACACACACACACACACACACACACACACACTCACATGCTGCCTATAATTCTACATACAGAATGTTGGCATCACCAGAAGATTCCCTCATATTGCTTCACAAATCACCCCTCACCTCTACCTATTCACACCCTAGCACTGATTTTTTTTTTTTTTTAATTTGACTATGGATCTGTTTCATCAGTCTGAAATTCTAACATGGACCTATCTGGAATGAACTTTGTGTGGAATGCTTCTCTCATTCAGCATAATGTTATTGAGACTCATCTAAACTATTGTACATATAGGGAATTCATTTGTTTTCATTACTGGGTGGTATTCCGTTATGTATGTATCTCAGTTTGTATGCTCACTTTTTATACAATTTTTGCTAAGTATGGAAAAAGCTGCTAACAACGATTTTATATAAATCTTCTTATAGACATGCTTCCATTTTCCTTTGGTAAATACCCAGAAGCAAACCTGCCGGATCTTGGTAGATGTGTTTATTTCCCACTCTCCCAGCAATGCAGGAGCATCCTGTTTGGCTACACACGCACATTTGGCACCAGCGTTCTTTCTAATTTTAATTCTTCTAGTGGGTGTAAAGTCATTTAAGCTTCTATTTTGGCAAATTTTCCAAACTAGCGAAAAAATGACATATGCATGAGAATCAGGTTAGAAGGGAAGTATTGCTTGAAGAGACAGACAAAGGTGGCATTTAAAAGTCACTCATCTGAGTTTGTGCTGCACTAATAAGCTCTGGTGAAGGGATGTAGAATGGATAGCCAGACAAACTCTTCAGTTTCTAATTCTCTCAACTAGATTCTGAGACAATGGAGTTAAGACCTAGAAAACTACAGCCTCTGCTGCAGGAGGCACGGGAGCCTGGTGTTCTCGTGGGTGGACCACCGAGTCCTCCCGCATCCGCTCGAGCAGGGTCCTTCCTGTAATGCTGGCTCAGCCTACCTGACAAGCACCTGCTCTTCCCTGTCTCTAATGTCAATCCCGGGGCCCAAGAGAAAGACATGAACAGGTTTTTAACATCAACACTCTGTCAAAGAGGGGGCAATTTATATATTTTATTCCTAACTTGTCAGAGCAACATTCCTGTCAATCAGGTATGGACAATCTCATGTTAAAGACATGAAACAAAGACTCAAAGAACTCCAGTAACTTACCCCCCTACACGTGTGCACATGTACACACACACACACACACACACACACACACACACACACACACACACACACCTGAGCTTGACTCTACCCTAGGCTCCACCTTGATGAGCAGTCCCTTGGGAACGGGGACAGTTGTGGTGGAGAGCGCTGTGTGTCTCTCCAGTCTGTCTCCCTCCCTCTTGCCGTGTCTGCAGTGAAGACAGGACTGATTCCTTCCACCCCTGAGCATGGCCGGTCAGTCCCGCAGAGGGCTCGGATGGAAACGGGCTTAGGCTGCCTGTCTGCAGCTGTGCTCCAGCCCCTGGCTTTCCTCCGGGAGGAGGGCCCAGCAGCTGCCACTCTCCTGCTGCAGCTCCTCCTCACTGTCTAGGTGCCCCCTCACTGCTCTCTGGTCTCCCTCTTCACTCCCTTCTCAGTGTGAGGAGGGAGGGGCCTGTCATCCTGTGTTTCTCCAGGCTGAGTTACCTGTTCCTGAAAAGCACTGGCTTGCTCCTCAAATCCTGCTGTTCGGAAATAATTGACGACGTCCATCACAGCCCAGTCTGCAGGATCGGGAGGCCTTCCATTTTCCATGGAACTGTAAAATACAAATCCAAGCTGTCAGAGTGTGGCACCTACTCAGGTATGGACAGGCTCACTGCCTTGCCTCCCAGGGCTGGCCTGAGCTGGCTCACTAGGAGCCTGGTGCTCACTTCCCTCAGGGCCTAGCCCAGTCTACCCACAGAAGGACTCGTGGTGTTTCTTCTGTGTCTTCGTTTCTTGTGATCATTACTCATACTGGCATAGCCAATGCTTTCTTAGTAAAGTATTTGACCTTTAATGAAAAGGATTCCCACAAATACCTTTTTTTAAGCCAGAGACATTTAGAGTGGTCCAGTCATTTTTGGTGGGCTTAATATTCCTACTGCAATTTCAGTATGAATATTTCACTTTACAGTGTGACTCTAACACGTCTCCAAATTCAGAGAAAATGCCATTTCTCAATAGATCATGTCTTTCTGTTGCATTGTGTTCCAACCCCTTAAGATACTCTCCCTACCTGATGAAACCTTACCACTCCTACCAATTCAAGGGTTGCCTCTGCTTTAAGGCACTTCCTGGGACCACTAGGAAGTACTGAAATTATAATCTGCTCCGAGACCCAATACTCCATTCAAATTACCACTGTAGCACCTTCCCTACCAGGTTAAAGAGACGTGGGGCAAAGATACACATGTGAACTTGGTCTGGTTCTCACCGTATTATTCCAAGTGTCAAGCATGTGCTCAAGGAAGTCAGCCAACATTGTTCAAAATGAATCACAGTGATTAAGCAGATGAAAATCAGGATGTGTGAGAGGCTCAAGTAACCCTTCTCCCTGGGTTTAGAGAGGCAGGCGGGATGGAAGTACAGTGGGAAAGAAAAGCAACGCCTGCAGTTTCTGGGACTCTACCTCATTTCATATTCACTTCAGGAGTACGTGTATACCTAATCCAACACAGTTCCCAGAAGGTCCATTTGACTGCATTGTTCCTCTGATTAAATCCTGCAAAGACTTCCTGTTCCTGTGGCAAATTCCCATGAGTTTAACGGAAGTCCTTCAGGACAAAAGCCTTCCCTATCCAACTAGAGATACATTTGAGAGCAAAAGACACAGCAAGCCTTCTGTGCCCCCATGTTTCAGTATGGACACTGATCGATACATACTGTAGAGAAGCTGCATATCACACGGACAGCCAGGAAGGACACGAGCACTGTGCTGTGACAGGTCAGGCCTAAAAGGCCATCCGAAGTTAATACATAAAGAGGTCAGGTGATGATTATTCCATGCTCTGTGGTAGGGATGTAGCCAGCCAAGGAGCCATGACAGCCCTGGAGGCCACACTGAGGGGTCCATACTTTTGCTAAGAGAAATGGGAAGTTGGTAAATGGCCTTATCGGAGGGGGGTGACCTAATCAGAGCCACATTTTTGAAGAGTATGGAAGAGGAATGAGAATGGGAGAAAGGATGTGATTGAGAAATTTATTGTAGTCATGTCTGCAGAAATCGTGATCTCAGACTATAGTAGTGACTATGAAAAAGAGAGGACTCAGACCAGAGTAGTGGCTGTAAAAAAGAGGACCATGGACTAAAATAATCAATGGACAGAATCAGCCAGGCTCAGTGGTGGACTAAACAGAGAGAATGAATGGGTGGACAAGCCACGAAACTGAATGATGGTGGTACCTTCACTGAGACAGAAGCCCTGGGCTTTGTCATGAGGAGATTTAATAGGTCTGGAGCTCCCAGCGTGGTTAGAAGAATGGGGTTCTGGAATTAGGCTTGGCAAGGCTTAGCACTCAGTCCAAGCTGAAAAGATCTTTGCTGCTGTTATAACAAAATGCCTAGAGTTTGAGAAAGCCCAGTAGGTCTTCACACATCTAAAAGGCCAGAGTCTAGACATAATGTTTCATTCAAAGCAAGAACCTAAACACTTAATTACAAACAATAGCTACAACAAACCCACCAACCAAGCAAGCCACTCAAATTCTGTTCTTTTTTGTAGCTCTTTATTTTAATTTAACTTTTTTTTACATACCAACCCCTCTTCCCCCTCCGTCCCCTTTTCCCACTCCCCCCTCCGCCCCACCCCACCCCCTCCCCTTCTCATAGGGTACAGGCCTCCCTTGGGAAGTCAACACAGCCTGGCACAGGAAGCTGGGGCCGGACCGAGCCCCTCCCTCCCCCCTGCATCACTGCCGAGTAAGTCATCATCGCACCACAGCGAACCAGGGCTCTAAAAAGCCAGTTTCTGTACCTGGGATGGGTCCTGGTCTCGTGGCCAGGGGACCCACGTTTTGCCTTTCATTAAGTTCTATTCTTAAAGAAAAGGGAGCAGGTAGCTAACCAGTGGACATGCAATTGGTCATTTCTCAGTGGTGCTTAATTTACAAACATTTAGAGCCAATGCCTACTAGTGAGAAGAGTTTCCTTCCTGAGTTTAACCTGAGTCTGGAAGCAGTGTGTGCCTGTGTCTTAGATCTTCTATAGCTGTGAAAAAACACCATGACCAAAAGCAACATAAGAGGAAAGCGTTTATTTGGCTTATACTTCTACACCACAGTCCATCATGAAAGGAAGTCAGGACAGGACCCAAAGCAGAGCAGTCTGGGAGTGCTGATTACTACTGGCTTGCTCCCTGTGGCTTATTTAGGTTTTTTTTTTTTTAGAGCCTGGAGCCATCTGCCTAAGGGAAGTGGCACTCACAATGGGTTGGGCCCTCTGACATCGATCACTAATCAAGGAAATGCCCATGGACTTGTCTCAATTGTTGCCTCAGATGGACTAATCTCAATTGCTTTTCCCTCTTCTCATATAACTCCAGCTTGTATCAAGTCGACAAACACAAAACAAAACAACCACAACAGCCTGTGTGTTTTTGTATACACAACTTCCTACCACTTAACAAGTGCTCTCCACTGAAAGAAGGAACTCATTTTCACAGCACTAATTATACATTTTTATATCAATGCTGATGGGGGGTAGTGATCCATATGCTGAGATTTTCTGTTATCCTGTAAAATCAACAATGACAAGCTGACGCCAAGGAACCTGCTCAAGGCTCCCTTGGTTATGCTGGTTGAAGACAGTTTCTGCAGGCGTTTGCTATTCTGACAGGTCTGTCAGGCTTTCTAATGGCCTCGCTTCTACAGTAAGCAGAGTCCCACCGAACAGCCTCTGAAGTGCCTGGAAAAAACCTGAGTTCACACGTCCTGTAGTTGACTTCAGTGAGTCCCCAGTTTTCATAAAGAATGGGTATTTGATTGTGATATGAGAGGCTCTCTGGATTCCTATTGGGTTGCTGTAACATCAAAACTTCCATGATTCTGAAATGCCTTTGACTATTTGAAATGCTGTACAAAAAAAGGTTGGTAAAACTGCTGCTGGTGTGCCACAAGTATTGGGGCAAAATGAGAAACTGTCACTTTCTCATAGGCATAGGTGAGGGAATCCAACCAGGATAAATGGGGTTAGTAACCAATCAGTATACATTAACAATCTGTCCAGTTTAAGTCTGATAGCCGAAAAGACGGGGATTATTTAGAAAAGTATAACAAAACAGAACTAGTCATAGCCTAGGAAGAAAGACCTGCTTAACATCATTGCTGTTGTTTGCCAGTGTCTATCACAGGTTTGGGCGGACACACAAAGGCCTGTTGGATGAGATGCTCTACAAATCAGAGTATGATACACTCTTTTCATAGATCACAAAACATCAGTCTTCCACCCCATCTGAACTGAAAACTTCCACCCACTTTTAGGAAACTAAAGCTCAGAACAGGGAAGGAACTCACCCCAAATAACACTCATCCCAGATATTCTTTAATGCAAACCTATGTTCTTTCCATTATACGTACCATTCACACAACTACTGATTGGCAGCTATGGTCTTCTCAGCAGTGCACTAGATGCAGGGATAAAGACAGAGAACACCCAGTTTCTGCCCCAGCGGAGGTGTCAATCACGTGAAGGAAACAGAAATAGCCAAGTAATACTGGAATCGAGGGGTAAGCAAAGTGCTAATTAGGATGTGTAGCAGGAATCTTAAAAGTTCTTATTAATAAAATCAAACCTGAGGCCAGTTATTGGGGTGAATACTGGAAGGTCAGAGAGACAGAACAAGCCACAGCTATCTCACCTTGCCAGTTCCTCAGCTGGTCCTGTTTCCTCAGCTTGGAAGCCTCTGAGTCCTCATCCAGAATGAATCTCAGCTGAACTGTATTGCTCCATAGCCTGAAAGCTTAACCAGTCAAATGCTTAACCAGCCAAAATGCTTCTAGTTTCTGGTCCTCACGCCTTATATACCTTTCTGCTTTCTACCACCACTCTCTGGGATTAAAGGCTGGCTTTCTGGGATTAAAGGCGTGTCACCATGCTTGGCTGTTTCCAACGTGGCCTTGAACTCACAGAGATCCCAGATGGATTTTTGCCTCTGGAATGCTAGGATTAAAGGCGTGTGCTATCACTGCCTAACTAGTGGCTTTTCTGTTCTCTGACCCCAGATTAGTTTATTAAGGTACACAATATTTTGGGGAACACAATACCACCACAAGGATGTATGCATCAGAGGGCCTAGTTAGCTGTCTGACTTCAGCAGCTGAAGACTGGTCATTTTAAAAGGCATTCCTTACTCCAAATTCTCAGCTTCTAAGCTAGGCCTCCAAGAGGGATGGGTTTGCTAGGCCCTGCCTGTGACATCAGCAACAGTTTCAAGGACAGCACTGCACGGTTCAACGTAACATTAAGAGGCTATGGAGACGCAAGACTTAAGACCAAGTACTCACTGACTATGGATACATTTGGGGAGGGTGAATTTACATGGCTATTTGTTTGCTGGGAAAGGACTACGTCTGCTTCAAAGACCTTTTTGTTGCCAAACTGAGATACTCAACTTTAGTCCATTATAAATGGACCAGTCTCTTCATACATAATCACAAGCACACATCAGATTCCAGAAGAAATTTAAATGGCATATTCAAGACACTTCTGAGATGGTGGCTCCATTGTGGCCCTAGTTTTGCATTGATGAAATGAGACGGCAGACAGAAGTGTGTTAC